GAGCTATGAGTTGAAACCAACTCGATGGTGCTCAACAACACCAACATCTGTTTAACAATATTACATGCCAATCTTAGAACCTCTATTTCTTGAGATCCAGTGAACTACACTTTGAAAGACTATTCAAATCAAAGAACTTGACAGGGAGGATAAAATTGTCTCTTATTGACATTAGAGCTAACAGTCCAGTTTAAAGCACAAAGGGAAAGAAATGTTATGCCTCAGAAGGTTAATAAGATATCCTTGGTAAACAATTGTTACAATATGGCTTATCATAAAAATTAATCTTATGAAGTTATAATTTGGTTTACCAAAACACAGACAGAAAAATGTCTTTCAACATTTTTCTGTTCTGAGGCTACTTGTCTTGTAGAACTAGAAATTTAAAAGGATTCCAACTTCTTATTTAATGTGAGAACATAGGTGTCCTTCCTGGCTTGTGTATTGACATTCCTGAGCCATGAATCTGCAGTTCAAAGGGAGACTCCATATTGGAAGGATAAAAATGGGCCCCATTTTTATTGTCTCAAAATAGTCTGTCCCTATTACTAACATCTTCATGCACCTTCATTTAAAAGTGGTTAATTTTCAGGGGCACTAGCCACCCAATGAAGGAGTTCTGATAACGTATTGGTTACAAATTAGGCTGCTAATCTCACAGTCATCAGTTCAAAACTACCAGCTGTTCGATGGGAGAAAGATGAGGCTTTCCTCTCCCCAAAAGATGTACAGTCTCAGAACCCCTGTACAGGGTCGCTATGAATCAGAACTGACTCCATAGCACATAGCAACAACAACAACAATCCACCCAGTGAGAAACATGAGGCTTTCTGCTCCCATAAACATTTACAACCTCAAAAACCCTATACAGAGTCACTTTGAGTCATAAACTGACTCCACAGTACATAACCACCACCTGTACCATCTACCCCACATCTTGATTAAAATAGAAAACAACTGAGGAATTCAGGTGTGATTTGGTGCATGGCCCATGCTTCAGCAGTTAAAATTTTATTTATATTTTCCATTTATTCCACTTTGTTTCTTTGTTCTGACTTATGATGCTTTACAATAAAATTCTGTGTCTTAATCTTGAAACATTCTGCCCTCCAAAATATTCACTAGGGAGCCATGCTAGCACAGTCGGTAAGTTCTGGGTTTCTAACCAAATGGTCTACAATTGGAATCCAGCACTGCAGACTGGACGAGAAAGATTAGTCTGTGTGAGTCCATAAAGATTGGTGTTGTTGTTAGGTGTTGTCAAGTTGGTTCTGACTCATATGGACCTTACATTCAGTGGAAAGAAACACTTCCCATTCCTGAGGCAGCCTCACAATCTGGAAAGTTTAAGTCTACTGCTGCCGCCCCTGATTCAATCTAACTCATCTGGTGTCTTCCTCCGTTTTGTTTATCGACCATTTTATCAAGCAAAATGTGCTTCTCCAGGGATGAGTCCTTCCTAATAATATGTTGGAAGCAGGAGACATAAAGTCTTGTCATTCTGGTTTCAAAGAGCATTCTACTTATTTCTCCCAACACAGAATTGTTTGTTCTTCCAGCAGTCGATGAGACCTTTAATATTCTTCTCCATCACCATAACTTAAACACATCAGGTCTTCTCCTGTTTCTTCCTTATACACTGTCCAACTTTCACATGCATATGAAGTTACTGAAAATACCACAGCTGGCATCAGGCACACCTAAGGCCTCAAACCAACAACTCTATTCACAATTCTTTAAAGAGGTCTTGTGCAGCTGACTTGACATTAATGCAATGTGTCATTTGATTTCTTGACTGCTATTTCCATGAGTCTTGATAGTGAATCCAAACAAAATGCATTCTCCAGCCTTGGAATTTGTACAGGGTGGCTCTATTCTGTTCTGTAGTGGTCTCTAAGACCGCAAATCAATGCAAAGGGACAGTGTTAGTTATCATTATAGGAAATGGAAACAGAGAATTTGATTATTATATGCCTAGGGGATTTTCTTTTGGGATCTATCTTTTTTGGGGTTCATCCAGCTTCTTGAATGCTTATCTTCTCATTTTTCAGGATGTTAGGGAAATTTTCTCCCAGATTGTTTCCTTCCCTTCAATTCTACTTCTTTGTCCTTTCAGTATATTGCCCATTTCTGACATTTTGGTATTAATCATTTGGACCTCTTTAGAAGGTTTTGAATTGCTTCCAATGCTATTTCTATCTTATTTGATAGTTCCTGTAGCACTTTTCTGACTTCTTCCTTAGTTTCCTCAACTTTCTGTGGAACATTTGGATGTACCTCAATATCATTGTCCTGAATGCCTAACCGGGCACTTCCAAAGCCTGCACTCCTCCCAGTGAAAATTTGACATCTGCCTCCAGCTCATTTGTATGAGATACTCTGTCTTCTTTCTAGACTTGAAAATAATTATTTTGGGTTTTTTTTCTAGACACTGTGGTGCTGTTGTATTTTCAATAATTAGATGACTGTATGCTGGTGTCTTCTTAAGCTCTCAGATTGTCTCCTGGTGGATGTGATCAGGAGATGAGCTTCTCTTTTCACTTCTCTTACTGTTTTATGTACAGTGGGTTTAGCAGGTGTTGGTTATTTATGCTGTTCTGATATAGAGCAGTTGGTATTGGTTTTCCCAGATGATGGGATTTTATAGATGTGATTGTAGCTTGGCTGTAATGATAGCAATTGCTGTCTCTCTTTGTGTAAGGCAAGGAGACCACAATCACCAAAGAAAAACAAAACAAAACAAAAAATTGTAGCAAAATATGAGTAAGACTTTACTGCCCCCTTTTTGGCTTCTTGCCTTCAAAGCTGCCTGAGAAATTTCAAGATGTTCCCATTCATCTTATGATGTAACTCAAGCCTTTTTATTCAGTCTTTTCCTCCTTTCTAGCTTCCCTCCCCTCCCCTCAAGACCATTCAGGTGTTTCTTCTAGTGAGAAATAGCCTACGCCTGGCCAGGCCCATTTAGGAAGACATTCCCATTTTAATTATTTCTGTTGACTCCTCCCCCTTCTTGGACTCTGTGTCCAGTGATCCTTGCTGTGCTGATCTTTGTGAATATCCGCTCTGGCCCCCAGAGTGGAGGTGGGCAAACAGAGGACAATAAAAGAATGAAAAAGAAATGTGTACACAATTATCTCTGATGATCTGTCAGACCTCTGTGGTGGGAGGGCTCTCTTGACCTTGCATCTGCTTCTCCCATTCAAAACGGCTGTGCTGGGACTCGCTGTCCACTGCAAATCAGAGAGCATCTATTTCTGGCCTCTGCTCCAACAAACCCACACTCAGTAAACTTTCAATCCTCCTACATTTCCCTTCCTAGGTAATGCAGAGTCCTGGGATCATCCTTTGAACATGTTCCGTCTGGTCCTCTGTGTTATTACTAGCAGAGGTCTGTACAGCCTTTCTCCCTGCTCTGCCATCCCATCTTGTTTTAATGGTAGTGGCTTTCCTTATAACAAACAATTACAGAAGAGTCCCAGGACATACTTTCAGAGGACTGGGACAATGCCATGATCTGTTCTGCAGATAACAATTCTATTCCTGAGATAGGGTTCTGCCTGCTATTAACCCAAATAAACCTTGACCATAGGACATCCGACAGCCATGTGATTTTCATTTTCATTCATGATTGTGTGGTGTCTGACCCACCATGTCATTAATTTATGGATATCAGCAACTTATCATCAGGTAGAAGCAGAAGACACAACCTGAACCCTGAATATTTCCTGGTGGTAGATATAATCCTGCCCATATGAATCTGCCCCTTAACCTGCCCTCCATCACAATCCATTGCTCACTTCTTCCCCATCTTCCTCTCCATCAGACTAGACAGTGTGCAATATCTCTTTTCAGACATAGCATACATGTTTGGGCAGCTGGCCACCCAAACTCAAGTTTATGTGCAGGGCTGTACCACTGTGGAAGGAACTTGTGTATCTTGCATGAAATACTAAACTGCAATGTCCTCAGCCTTCATTCTGCTCCTTTTAAGTGTGAAATCAGTAACTGCTTTTGAACTTCCTTTAAGTGTGAAATCAGTAACTGCTTTTGAACTTCCTTTAAGTGTGAAATCAGTAAGGGCTTTTGAACAGCAACTTGAATGTCATGGAAGATATTTCTAATATGAGAAAAATACATGTCATTTTGTTATAAAAGTTTTGGGTTTCTACAAAAGTAAAGGAATGGTGAATTCCTGGCTCACTTGTTAGAAGTCAACAAAGGAAAGTGAATGCATTTCCCAAATAAGAGAAAAGACTAAGGCTTTCTCTGTAAGTGTGGGTCTAAGCCAATAACAATTTCATGACGACAGCTTCCTAACTCACCAATTTGTTTTTAATGGTAGTAGCTTTTCTTATTACAGAAAACGCAGAAGAGTCATAGGACATACCTTTAGAGTACTCCAACAATGCAGTGATCTCTGTTGCAGGTAAAAGTCCTCTTCTTTAGATAGGATTCGGTTTTGCTATTGTTGTTGTTAAGTGTCATTAATTTGGTTCCAACTCACATCGACCCAGTATAGCATTTGTGAGGAATGTCTAGTGAGTTGGAACCGCCAACCTTGCCATTTAACCTGACGTATTGGCTGTGTTCTTTATCCCACAGCATCATACCAGGACACTGTGGCTTGCTTATACCCTGACAAAACTAAATAAACCTTAACCATAGGTCATCAAGCAGCCATGTGATGTGCATATCCCTTTGTGGTTGAGTGGGTCTGACTCACCAAGTCACACATTTATGGAAATCAGCATCTCATAATCAGGTAGAAGTAGTGTATACAAGTTGAACCTTGACTATGTCTTGATTGTCCATATAATCCTACTCATAGTACTCTGTCCCTTAACCTGTGCTCAGTCACAACCATACTCCCACATCTTCCAATTTCTCACACTACAGAGTGTGTATTGTCTGTTTTCAGACAATCCGAATTGGGGCAGTTGCGTCTCCATTATGCAAATTTTTGTGCAGGGCTGTACAACTGTGGGAGGAAATTGTGTATTTTACTTGCAGTAATAAATGGCTATGTCCTCATCCTCCACTCTGATGATTTTCAGTGTGAAATCTGTAACTGCCCTACTGCCAATGAACCTGTCTGGGACCCCAGTGAACCAAGTAGAAACTGATAGATCAGGAGACGTGCTGCTTGGCCTGGTTTCTGCTGGTGCCAGTACAAATAAGTCTTTCCATTACCATACACAAGGCTCTGAATAGACTTGCAGGTGAGGGTTGCTGTCTGTCCTAGTGTGATGGGCAGGCTGAGTGGAGTCTGGATCATCACAATATCCCCACATGTTGCTAAAATAATGAGCGAGAAGTCAAAGTTATATGCAAACATCATCAGCTGTTGTCACCATTCTTTCTGTTGCTATTATTATTTTATGAATCGAATATATTTTTTTAAATTTTTCTTTCATTATTTTTGATTCTTCATAGCTTGAATTATTCAATTTGCTTAATAAACCATCCTCCTATTTCATTCTTACTGTTTTATCACAAAACAAGCCCTGGCTCCTTCTCATTTCTTCCTCACATCTATAAATAAAACTGTATGTCCCTTCACCATACCTGCCAAATACATATATGGACCAGTGATGTCCCCAAAGCTGTCCCTACCAAACCCTTTTCTTTCTCATCTCCCCTAGGTCCTCACCAGGGATCCAGAGCAGTAAGAGCCCCAGGAGCTGAGCAGGGACCATCATTCTGAGAAGCTGAACTGAGGAATCCTGATAAGTAAGGGCAGATGAGAGCTTTTTATCTCAAATTTACAAATGCAGGTATTCCCAGGGGAACAATATGCAAATCCTGTGGTGAGCACAGTAGTGTGGAAAGTGTGTCTCCCCACTGAGCAAAGCATCATAAACTAGGTCTGTGTTTGGAAGAAGAGGTTAAGTCTTGGCTGCTCTCATGAGTGCTAACTGCTAACTGAGGAAACCTGAAGCCTAGACAAGACACATGGGGCACATAACTCTAAGAATGCATCAAAGACCCTGATGATGTGGAGATGGATGTCCTGTTTGCTTCCTATCCAGAAATCTAGAAAAACAAAGGGTTCATTTCCCCACAGTGTGTCTTTAAATTAGGGTATGCACTTGAGATGAAGTTTGTCTGATATGTATGATTACCAGGTTACCTGACTAACATTAGTGCTGGGGTGGCACTCTGAGTTAATGCACAGGACTGCAAAGTTGGTTTGAGGAGCAAAGTAGGTGGTTAAAGCTCACCAGCCACATATTTTTGTTATTAGTTGTTTTTGAGTTGTTTCTGACTCATACCGACCTTATCCTTGGTGGAATCACAAATTTCCCATTTGTTTGCCCTCCTCACAATCTGTTACGTTTAGCCTATTGCTACTGCCACAGAGCCAATCTATCTCATCATTGGTCTTCCTCTTTTTTGCTTACCTTCCTCTTTACCAAGCAAGAAGTAAGATGTCCTTCTTCAGGCACCAGTTCTGCCTAAAGTCAGAAGTATACTAGATAAATTCTTGACATCCTGGCTGTACTTCTTCTAACACAAAATTGTTTGCTCTTCAGGTAGTACATGGTACTATTAATATTCTCCCCCAACATCCTGACTCAAATGCATCAATTCTTCTATGGTTTTCTTAATTCACTGTCCAAGATTCAATGAGAAGTCACTGAAAATACCACACTGTGCATGAGGTGCACTTAAGTCCTCAAAGCAACAGCTTTGCTCTTGAAAATTTAAAGAGGTCTCCTGTAGCAGATTTGTCTAGTGCCATGTGTCCTTTGATTTCATGACTGCTGCTTCCAGTCTTGACAGTGGACCCAACCAAAAAGAGTTTTCCAGCCTTAGAGACTCTACAGGGCAGTTCTTCTCTATTCTGTAGCTATCAACAGCAAGATGCAAGAGTGAGAAACTCCATGCTGTTGGCCTTCCACTTAAAAAAGTAAAGGAAATAAAATAAAAATAGAAGATGACAGGACTTTAGTGAATAAACAGGTAATAAAACAGCTTCATGAAGACTTCACAGACTGGCAGGAAGATGATAGAGAATTTTTTTCTACATATTCTATGCACCTTCCCCGCTGTCACTGTATAGTTGACATGAAGAAGCAGCATTATTTACATTTTGGCATCTTTGCATGTGTCTTCTTTGTGAGCGAATTTTCATTATTAACAAAGAAAGTCAGTTTGCAAGTTATATCAGTTGAGTAAATGCTAACAAACTTTACAACAGTAATTTGAATATCATGAAAGATATTTCTAATATGAGAAAAATATGTAAGTATTTTTTTATAAAAGTTTTTGGGTTCTACAGGAGAAAAGGAATCATGAATTCTGAACTCACTTATTAAAAGTCAACAAAAGAAAGTGATGATATTTTCCAAAACAGAGAACAGACTTGAGGCTCTCGTTATTAGTGTGGTCACAGCTTCCTATCTCAACAGTTTTTTTTGTCTTTTAAGTTTTTGTTGTAAATTGAGTGATAGCTTACATGCGAGAAAATCAATTTTACACTTATTCTATCGTGTTTTGTTTATTGCAATGTTTACAATCCCCTCCATGCATTAACATTCAACAATATTTACTTCTATTTCCTCTATTTTTTTTTTTTTGTTTGTTTTTTATGTACACCCAAACATTCAGATATTTACAATCATTCAAACAAACAAGCCTGTCCCTCTTTGGGTATTGCACAGCCCTTCTGCATTGACGAGCTTAGAGTCCCAATCCATTCCATCTCTCCACATCATCATCTCTGCCTCCATCTCTGGCTTTGCCACTTCTCTGGATAGTGTTCCACACTCCACTCCCTCTCTTATCTCTTGATGGTTCCAGGGTCCTCCACTCTTGGACTGCAAGATCAACCACTCTCCTCTTTTTGCTACAAAACCTCTATCTTTACAGTGGCAAAAAATTGCAATCAGTCATGATAACATTTACTCACTATTGAATCATAAGAATCTGATCCCCATCTTGTTTCACCAGCCCCATCTAGACAGGATGAAAACATCTCTGTGGAGATTCTACATTCCCCCTCACTTTCTGAAACTAAACTCTGTCTTGAAAACTTGAAACCCAGTCACTTTGTGCATTTATAGCCCTCCCACCCCCATTTCAAGTAGCCAAAGTCTAAGTTGCCCAATCCTATCAATCCTGTTTACAGAGGAGATGGGAATGATCTTTGTTGTGAATAATCCTTCCCTTTGGTTGATATTTTAAACTACTACATCCAAAAGTATAGATCAAGTTCATCAAATTAAAGTGAATTGCAACTGTTTTCTTTATCACAAAATGTTTTTATTTTTCCCTTTCTTTTTCTATTCGAGTCCTGATCATCCAGCCATTGTAGCTATGTGAGATGAGTACTATCTGCAAGTATGGGCATTCTTGTGCATTTCCTCTCACTTCATATCAGCTGGACACTTCACTCTCCACTCTAGCCCTCTGTGGCTATGTCCTAGTCCATGGGATCAGGAGTCCCCATGTCTCTCCATACTGCTGGCCAGCCCGGTCTCACCATACTCTAGGTTGATGGGAGTCTATATAATTTAGTCGGACACAGCCTACATCTTCATTTCTGCTTTTCCCCACTTCTGCTCATCAGTAGACCAATGTGGTCACCAGCTTGATTATATGCCAGCTAACGTATTCCCTTTGAGTTTCAGTCTAGGAAGGGGGTTTGTCCTGAAGGGATCCAATTGGTTGCATTGGTGGCTCCCCTGTGGACAACTTAACAGGTTGGTTTTGTAGCATAATGGTTACGAATCTAGCTATGAACCACAAGGTCAGCAGTTTGAAACTACCAGCTGTTCCGCAGGAGAAAGACAAGGCTTTCTGCTCCTATAAAGATTTATAGCCTTGGAAACCCTGTGCAGGGTCACTATGAGTTGGAACCAACTCCACGGCACATAACCACCAACCAGCATTCCTTATCACAGAAAACACAAAAGAATTACAGGACATAAATTTAGAGTACTGGGACAATGCCATGATTTCTTCTGCAGATAACAATCCTGTTTTTCAGATACACTTCTGGCTTGCAATTGTTAAGTGCCATCAAGTTGGTTCCAACTCATAGCAACCCTGTAGAGGGTTCAAAGGAACAGCTACTGAGTTTGACCCACCAAGCTTGTGGCACAACCAGGCCTCCTGGTCAATTGACACTATACCACAACAGGACACAGAGACATGCTTAACCCTTGACAAAATCAAATAAACCTTGGCCTAGGGACATCCAGTAGTTATATGATATGCTCTTCCCTTTATGACTGAGTTGTGTCTGATTCAGCAAGTCATAAATTTATGGATATCAGCACCTTATCTTTAGGTAGAAGTAGTATACACAAGTTGAACAATGAATATGTCCTGGTGGCAGATATAACCCTGCTCATTTAAATCTGCCTCATAACCTGCCATCAGTCACAACCCAGTGTCTTGAGTTCTCCCACATCCTCTTCATAAAAATAGACAGTGTGCAATGTCTGTTTTCATACAAAACACACGTTTTGGCAGATGAGCCACTCCAACACAAGTTTTTGTGCAGGGCTATATCACTGTGTGAGGATCTTGTCTATATTGCAAACAGTAATAAACTGCAATATCCTCAGCCTCCACTCTGCTGATTTTGAGAGTGAAATCTGTAACTGCCCCACTGCCAATGAACCTGTCTGGGACCCCAGTGTGCCGGTTGGAAACAAGATAGATCAGGGGACGTGGAGATTGGCCTGGTTTCTGCTGGATCCAGTACAAATAGGTCTTTTCATCACTATGTACAAGGCTCTGACTTGACTTACAGGTGATGGTTGCTGGCTGTCCAAGTGTGATGGACAGGCTGAGTGGAGTCTGGGTCATCACAATATCCCCACTTGTTACTAAAGTAATGAGAGAAAAGTCAAAGTTATGTGCAAACATCATCAGTCATTTTCATGATTCTGTTACTATTATTATTTCATGGATTGAATACATATTTTTTTTAAATTTTTGCTTTCATTATTTTTGATTCTTCTCAAATCAAAATATCTAGTTTGACTAAACCATCCTGGTTCCTTCTCATTTCTCCCTCACATCTACAAAAAAAAGTGTTTTATGTCATTCCTAAAGGATAAAATGTGTGCATTCAACACACCTACAGAATCCATCTGTGAACCAGTGATGTCCCCAAAGCTGTCCCTCCCAACCCCTTCTCTTTCTCATCTCCTCTAGGTCCTCACCAGGGAACCAGAGCAGTAAGAGCCCCAGGAGCTGAGCAGGGACCACCATTCTGAGAAGCTGAACTGAGGAGTCCTGATAAGTAAAGGCAGATGAGAGCTGATTTTTTATCTCAAATTTGCAAAGGCAGGTTTTCCCAGGGGAACAATATGCAAATCTTGTGGTGGGAACAATAGCTTGGAAAGTGGCAAGTGTGTGGCCCCTCTAATCAAAACATCATAAACTCTGTCTGTGTTTGGATGAAAAGAGATTAAGTCTTGGCTGCGCTCATGAGTGGTAAGTGCTGACCGTGGAAGACTGAATGTCTAGAGAGGAGTCCTTGCTCATGGCTCTGTCACTGTAAGAATTCACCAGAGACCCTGATGATGTGGAGATAGGTGTCCTGTTTGTTTCGCATTCAGAATATCTTGAAAAACAAAGGACTCATTTCTCCATAGTGGATCTTTAAATAAGGGGATGAATTTAACATTAAGTTTCTTTGATATCTACCATTGCCAGGTTAACTTTCTAGAAATGTCACATGCCAATTTTAGAAACTATCTTTTCCTTAGACCCAGTTAATTACCTTTTAAAAGAGTGTTCAAATCAAAGAACTTAACATGGAGGTTAAAACTGTCCTTATTGGTAGAGGATTTATAGCCAAAATAAAAAAAGAATTAATTTCATACCTCACAACTGAGAGTAATTGCAACACTTGGTAAGCATTTGTTATAATCTGCTGTAGCATAAAATATAATATTAGGAAGTCATAATGCTGTTTATCAAAAGAAAATCAGAGACGTCTCTTTCTCTTTTTCATAGGATTGAGTCTCACTTGTCATGTAAAATAAAGAACTTGCAAGGGCTCCAATATCTTATTTTAATGTGAGAACATAGGTCACTTTCTTGGCCTGTGTTTTGTGCTTCCTCAGCCACGAGGCCACAGTTCAAAAGGAGGCTTCATAAATGGGAGCATGATAAATGGGTCTTGGGTCCCATTTAAATTTCTCAAAGTAGTCTGTCACTATTACTGACATCTCTGTGGGCATTCATTTAAGGGTGGTTAGATCTCAGGGGCACTATCCACCCAGCACCTTGACTGGAAAAGAATCAACTGAGGAACTGAGTGGTGAGTTGGTGCATGGATCATCTTTCCACAAAGCTATATTTACACATTAAATGTATTCCATTTTGTATGTTTTGTTCCTTTGTGCTTTTCTTATAATGCTATAAAATAAAAAGCTATGTCTTACTCTTGAAACTTTCTGCCTTCCAAAATATCCATTAAGGGGTCTTGCTAGCACAGTAATAAAGTTCTGGGGATGGAGCCAAATGATCTCCAATTTGAACCCAGCAGTGCACACTGGAGGAGATTTGACTGTCCATGAAGATTTGTGTTTGTTGCTGTGAAGTGCTGTCAAGTTGGTTTTGACTCATAGTGACCTTATGTACAATGGATGGAAACACTGCTCAGTCCGATGTCATCCTCACAATTGTTATGCTTGAGTCCATTGCTGCTGCCAGTGTACCGATCCAACTGGTTCAATGTTTCCTCCTTTACACTGACACTCCACTTTGTCAAGCTTGATGTACTTTTCTAGGGACTGGTTCCTCCTGATAATATGTCTCAGGTTCAAGAGTTGAAGTCTTGCCATCCTGCCTTCAAAGAAGCATTCTGGCTTTACTTCCTCCACCATGGACTCGTATGTTCTGGTAGTTCATCAAACTTTTAATATTCTTCTCCAACACCATAACTCAAATGCATCAGTTCTTCTATGGTTTTCTTTATTCGTTGTCTAACTTTCCCATGCAAATAAAGTTATTGAAAATACCATGGATTAGGTCAGGTACACTTTAGCCCTCAAGCTGACATCTTTGCTCTTGAACACTTTAAAGAGGTCTTGTGTAGATGACTTGTCTAATGCAATGTGCAGTGTGATTTCTTCTTGACTGTTGCTTCCATGAGTCTTGATAGTGGATCCAAGAAAATGTATTCTTCAGCCTTCAAAACTTTATAGGTCAGTCACCAGGAGACAGAGAGAGGGAAGCTAGGGACTGAGTCATCACAATGTCTCCCATGACGTCTAAAGTTGGAAATGAAACACAGAGTCACCAGTATGATCTGGACCATAAAATACTGTCTTTCCAGAAGACCTAATCTATAATCCAAATAAGCCAATATTTATTCATTTTTCTTGCCTAATAAAGGTCTTCAGGTCCCAGGACCTAAAAACATTGAAAAAACATTTGACTGAGAGAACCATCCCTATTGCCCTCACCTGGGAGCCAGAACACTAGCAGGCAGAGTAGCTGAGCTGGGCCTTCCATGGTTCACTCTGTGCCCCAAGTGAGACAGATCTTCCCCTGAGTGCAGACCCAGCATTCATATGGGCTCTGGAGGACCAGAGGGACTGGAAGAAATATGCAAAGCAGGTGGGTGGGGCCAGCTGGGCTTCCAGCTGCAGAGAGGCTTTGTCTGCTCTCCTCTGCACATGAGCAACCATCCTCAGGAGGCCCAGTCAGAAAAGTCTTAGACTCAGATTCACAATAGAATTTCCAAGGGTCACTGAATTTAACCCTTGTATAATGCACTGGACCACAAAGTTGGTTTGAACCACAAAGGAGAGGGTTCAACCTCATCAGGGACTCCTTTGAGTCCCTATGAGTGGAAATCAACTCAATGGAACTTAAAAACAAAAAGAAAAGCAAAATTTATTAACATAGGTTCAATCAAATGGTATTTCTCACAAGCCTGTTGAGCACAAGATTGAGGCTCAGTTGTTAGAGGTCTAATGGAGTTGACTTGAGTGAAAAAGCCTTTGGAGGAAAACATGCTTGCAGAATTCAGGTCTATGGAAGAAAGTATTAGACTGAATACAGGACAGTTAAACATTTAACAGCATATTGTGGAGAGCAGAGGACCTCTTTAATTGCTTTAAAAATTAGAATGTTTTCTGTAGCAAGAAAGATTTTAAAAAGCTGATGAATAAAATCCAGAATGAAGATTTGACAGCTGGGCTTAAAGAAAATATTGAATGCTGAGAAAAGATACTATCTTGCTTGTGGAAACCTGAGACCCTAAAACATGGGGTAGGAACACTGAGTAGATATATACTCTCAAGATTGTTGATCCCTAGATGCTCATGAGTCTTCATGGGCAGCAAATAGGTGCTTCTTGGCATCTACATTCAGAAAAGCAGAAAACTTGGAGCAGGAGACCAAGTGTGGTTATTTCATACAAAAGTCATAATTCCCCTATTCTGGGAACTGGTCAGTTTACAAACCCAAACCTATTTGTTAAATGGATGTCTGGTTCCTCTAGAGGAATGGTCATGTAACATGATGACAAACATGTCCTGTAATGATCCCTTTGTTGTTGTTGTTGTTATGTGCCATCGAGTCAGTTCCGACCCATAGCGACCCTGTACAGGGTTTCAGAGGGTGTAAATCTTTACGGGAGTAGAAAGCCTCATCTTTCTCCCACGGTGCAGCTGGTAGTTTTGAACCACTGACCTTAAGGTTCGAAGCCCGATTCGTAACCACTACACTACCAGAGCTCCTTTAGTAGTCCCCAAATGGAACTCTGTCCTTACAACTGCACACTGAGGAAAGAGAATCACAGATAGTGTGTGTACTGGTGTATATAGGATCTAAGTTGGCATTGATACTAATTAATACAGTGCCTTGGGCTCCTGGAACCCAGGTAGAGGAAAAAATTGAACTTAAGTGTTTTAAAAGGTTTATGTTTGACCACCCTATGGATATTAGTTTCTCCTGCCTAAGGAGCTCTGGTAGCATAGTGGTTACGAATTGGGCTGGGAACCGCAAGGTCAGCAGTTCGAAACTACCAGCTGTTCTGCAGGAGAAAGATGAGGCTTTCTGCTCCCATAAAGATTTACAGCCTTGGAAACCCTGTACAAGGTCTCTATGAGTCGGAACCGACTCCACGGCACACAACAACAACAAAATTAGTGTAAAATAGGCATATACATGTGATAGGAATATTTGAAATTATTATCACAGAGAGCTTGTAATCCTGCCTTCAGCCTATACTTGATTGGATTTGCTAAAAGGGATTTACAATTTGCCCGGAGAAATTTGGAGTTTTGCTTTAAGCCTTTGTACAGTATGTGGCTTTTGTAGAATCCAGAACCCCACCCAAAACCTTCAGACTTGGGACATTTGCATTTCCGAAGACAAGCAGACCAACCTAGAATTGCTGGGAGAGCAGGATTTTAAAGCAGAGGAAAAAAGCGGACAGTTTGGTGTTTTCAGTTCTGGAGGCATCAAGGCAAGTCCGTCCATCAAAGAAAACCTCCTACTAGGACTGAAAGTTCAAAGGATCCTCTGTTCCATTGCTCATTGGTGACCTCTTGGATTGACTTGTGCGTGGAATTGGGTGAAATGCAGCAATGAAGACACAGGCTGAGTTTGAACATGTTCCATTTGTACCCACTAACCTTGAGGTAAGGGAAACAGGAAGGTTGGCTGGTTTGAAGTTTAGGTAGTTTTATGAACTCCTGACCCTAAAGGCCCTGACCTAGCTCCTTGACTCTAGCACTGAGAATGAAGAGGTAGCTGCTTTGATGTGCAGTGAGGTGTGTGTGAACTCCCAAACTTGTAGCTGGTACCCATTTGACTTAGCTTGGCTGGCTATAGTGGTTTTTATTAAGTGCCATCAAGCGGTTTCAACTCATAGCGTCTGAGAAGCAGCTGGTGAGGTTGAACTGCCAACTTTATGATTTAAACTGACCTTGCAGTCCAACACATTACCCCACAGCACCACACCAGGACTCTTCATGGGTGGCTAAGGTAGAGCTGACCAAAACCTGACTGGATGAAGATAAAGATGCTTGATAGTCTGAGCAAGTGTTAACTGCTACAGTTTGATGGACTAGACTTTTGCTTATGAATGCAGTTTCTCAAAAGTCCACCTGGAATGGAAGATTCTACATATTAAGTAACATGCTTGTCTCCTCAGGGAACTGGGTTGATAGAGACAGGAAATTTAGACAACAGCTTTTAAAAATGGAGGGTTATAGAGTCATGAAGTGACTGACGAACAATCTTTCATAGGTGTGCTTAGTTTCAGAGTGAGGGGATATGGTAAAATCTCCACTGACTAGCTTTCCTCTTTTCTGGATGGGTCTTGTGAGAGGGTGTGGGAAGTTATGCTTATAGAAATTTATGATTTCAATTGTGAGTAATTGTTAGTAGGATTCATTGTGTTTGTCAAAACTGTAATTGTAGAAGATGTGTAACTAAAAGGAGGGAGTAGTTTTCTTTCATTTCAGGATCCAATGATCCCAGGACCATCAGGAAGGAAAAGCATGAGTGGAGCCTGGGGTTCCTGCCTGGAAAAGTGGCAGCAGCAGAGAAGGAGGCAGAGGCGGTGGCGGGAAAGTCAGAGCAGCTATGGACACTTGGCCCATGGACTGAGTAAATGCTGTGCATCTATGGGCAGGAGGCTGGCTTACAGAGGGTGCCCTTTGTTCATTTATATGAATACATATATTTTGTTTTGTTTTGTATGTGTGCATCAAATATTTTCACCTTGTTCATTAGTGACATATAAGATGTAAAAGGGGCCTGTGCGGAGAACTGACAAAGGTAACATCCCTGATAATCCCAGTGCTACAACAAAAATAAGACACACACAAATAACAGGGAAACAATGATTCATCCTAATAAGCATGAAAAAGGGAATGGAAACTTAAACAGGAATGAGCAAATAGTGAAAAAGAAAAATAATAATTCTATAATGCAATGATATTAAACATAATTAAAGAATTCAGGAAAATACTTTTAATAAGTGCTAAAAGAAAAAAAAAAAAAAACCCAAAAAATCTGAAAAAGGAAATATTGCAACCAAATAGAGTCAATAACTGAAATAGCAAAGACAATAGAAAGATTTACAAGACATTTAATCAACCAGAAAGATCACTGAAGTTGAGGATAAAGAGTTAAAATTCTAGATCCTGAAGAATAACAAGAAAGGAGGCTCAAGAAGGTTAAGCAGAGTTTCATTAAACTAGAACAACAACAAAAGGTCTAATATATACAACATGAGAATCCAGAAGGAGATGTGAGAGACAAAGGTGTAGAAAGAATATCTGAAGAAACAATGACAATTTCCCCAGTCAACTGAAGGACATGAATCTACAAATCCAGGAAGCTCCAAGAACCCCAGTAGAATCAACCCAAAGAGTTCTAATTGAAGACACATTACAGTTAAACCCACTAAAATCTACTGCCAACAATTTGATTCCAAGTCACCACGACACTATAGGACATAGAAGAACTGTCCCATAGGGTTTCTAAGGTTGCAAATCTTTAGGGAAGCAGATTGCTACATCTTTCCACCTTGGAGCAGATATTGGGTTCAAATGACTGTTCCTTTGGTTATCACTGGGCACTCTAACCAATGTGCAACAAAGGCTCTGACATCATAGTTAAGACCCCAAAATTGGAAGACAAAGACAGAATCAATAAGGCAATGAGAAAGAAGCTAACAATCCCACACCCATGATCCCCTATAAGAGTAAGGACTGTTTTTTGTTGTTGTCTTTTTTAACGTCCGAAGCTTCGGACACCAGAAGGCAATTGAATAATATCTTTAAAGTTCTAAATGGAAAAAAGCAAAGCAAAAACCTGTCTACCGAGAATACTCCACCCAGGAAAGCGATCCTCCAGGAATAAGGGTGATATTAAAACATTCCCAGACAACCAATAAAGGAGACAGTTAATATCCACCAGAATGGCTCTAAAAAACAACAAGGAAAAAAAAAAAAAAAAAAGGAGCTCTGCAGATGGAAGGGTAAAGTGATTCAAATATAAACACTAAAGAAAATAGCATAGTAAAGAAAACGTGTGGTCAATTGTAAGAGCTTGTAATAAGTATTGAATTTTGATCATTCTAAATCCTTTGTTTCACATGTTTTTAATAACGACTGTATGAAACATAAGAATAAAAGTATGTTATGGTGAACTATTTGCATGAAGTACAAATAGTAATAAAAACAACAAAAGAGGGGAAGAATTATGTAGATAAAAAATATTTTGCATGTTACTGATATATCTGTAGAACTAAGAGTCACATTAAGTTATATTATTCAGTAAATCTGACAAACTTTGTTAACTACCACTTTCTAGATTCTGCTATGCTTCCCCTCAAAGTCTAGGCACTGACCCTGGGGTCTCATATTAAGGTAAGATTAATTGACTATGTGTGTAATTTATTTTTGTTACAGTGTTTATTGCATGGTTTATTTATGTTTTTTCTATAAATATTAAGTACTGTGATTTATGTCATCAGGTATCAAACAGAT